GTAATACAGACACAGCCGACCTTTTGGCTCACCCGACGTAGGTTCACCCTTTGATGCACCTTTACCAAAGTTGTACTTGGCCCGGAAGGCTAAATCCTCCCGCTCCTGCTGTGCCTCATCCACTGCGCCTTCCTCTGTGGGAGGGTCACCGATGTTCCCATCCTCATCTCCAGCTTCTTGGCTGTTCTTTGGCTCAGTTGATCCTCCTTCTGGCCAACCTTCACCATAACGACGATGCTCATAGGGACACCCATCACCATTGCGACACCTTCCCTTATTGAAGAACTTGCACAGCTTGCTGTATCCAGGTGACACAGTCTGTGGAGTCATGTGAGCCTTTTTGTACTGGTCAGTATCCATGTAGGCTTCCATTGGCTTGTTCTCCCTTTTACTCATGGATTGTACTGCACCATCAAGCTCCTGCAAAAATCGCTTGGTGTCCAACCAAAGCGCGTTCCAAAGTTCATCTTCCCCTTGACTCAGCACCATTGCCACCGCTTCACCCACAACTGGTCGAGTAAATCTCCTTTTTCTGCATGCCAGTTCGAAAAGCGCGTTGTGGTACTGTTTTCGGGGAAAAGTGGATATCTTTCCCAAACCTGTGCTTTCCGTACCATCAGGTTCCCAACCATCACTTTGCAAGATGCCATACGCGCGCCGAGCTTCCGCATTGAGGAATGCATGATCTGCAACACACTCCTGTAGCTCTTCCATTGGGCGACCCAACAGCATCCCAGTGATTTTGCCCACATAGGCCTTATCAGCGTTTCCATCCTCAAGAAGAGCTTTATAGATCTTTTCTCCATAAAGTTGCCTTTCCTCTCGTTCTTCTGAGGATAACTCCTGTACAGCAAGCCCTTCATCGGATTGCTCTTCTTCCCGTTTCCAGTCCCATTGACTGCCGGAATCTTGGTACCATTGACCAGCATACCATGAATCTGTCCACCACGTACTCCAGCCGCTGGGTTTCCATTTACGCAGCGTCGAAGAAGAGTCCTCCTCGTCCTCTTCCAAAACCAGAAAGGTGTCCAAGATTATGGTACCATCATCTTCCACTCGCTTCACTGTTCCATTGACAGTATCACCAAATTTGAACTGATGTGCGTTGTTCCCTTCTGCAGGAATCAATACATTCACATCACCATGGTCCAAAAAGGCTCCATACCCATTGATGCAGCGCACTAGACCCATGATCTCATCTCCCTCTTGGTAGCAATGTTCCCCAGGTGATTCCAAGGCTCCCGCTCGGGGCACTTTCTTTGCATGCTCTTCAGAAACCATCTCTGTATCATCGGCTCCTGGCGCATCCTTTGTCTTCACCTTTGGGTCACACTGCTCGTCCGGCTCCTGCACGAGTCCCACAAGATCATCCATCTTGTGCTCCAGGGGCTCAGGACCTTCCTTTTTTCCAGCCAATGGCCTTGCCTCATCTGCTGCAGTTCGCTCGGTGTCGACTTCCGGCGAGCTTCCAGACGGCAATACTTCTCCCTTCATGGGAGTGGACCCATCATTGGAGTCTTTTGTCTCACCTTCTGCAGCAGGCAAATTTTCTTCCACTGCAGGGCTATTGAATTGATCATCCACGGCAGGTACATTTTCTTCCACCGCAGGCTCCTTTGGTTCCATGGTTTCCAAAGGAGAATTGCCACCATCATTGACCACAGCTGCCTCATCGGCTCCGGTGTAGCCCTTGCCATTTCGTTCCTCGCAGCTAACTTCAGGTTGCACCAGTGCGTCCACCTGTGAACCTCCGTCATCAGCTGCTGCGGAGACCTGCGCCCCATTGTTGCAGTCGCCCGTGGAACGTGACACCATATGCGCCTCAACCCGTGCTTCCTTTGCACTCCAGGTACTATCTGGCACATTGACCCGCGCATCATTGGCGCTCCAGGCCTCATCTTTCAGATCTTCCGTGTCTCCAGCTATTCCAGAAGCTTCTTTTTCCCCTTGAATGGCAGGATTCTTGGCACCAAACGAAGAGACCTCCTCAGTCGTAACAGACAACTTTTTCCCTCCGTCTTCCAAATCTCCAGGACCACCTTCCTGAACGACAGGTACCACATCCACCACTCTCTCTTCTGCAGCCGACACAGTTCCGATCACCACATTGGGCATTTTTTCTTCTGGACCCACCGATTCCACCGCTGCCACACCCTCAGAAAGCGCTTCCATTTCTTCCCGATCCAGATGTTGAGCTCCAGCGATGTCTGCTCGGTTTCCAGGAATCCCCTCCTCATCAGGAGAACCCGAGGTCGGGGCGTCACCACCAGCCCTAGGACCGCTATCCCTGATAGTAGAGGAAAAATCTTTTTCACCTACACTATTTACACTACCCTGGAATGCCCTCGTAGACTCAGGCGTCGGAGTAGAGGATGAAGAACCCAGTGCAGCCTCCATTTCCAGCTCATTGCCCGAAGGAGACCCTTCATCTTTTCACCTACAACCGGCAACGTCCACTTGCTTTCCTGCGTATCCAGGCAGTAGTAATATTGTCTCCCATCTTCATGGAAGTGCCATTCCCACGTTGTCCCATCGCACGCTTTGATCAGATGCTCATCTTTCCGAAAACCATCCCTTTCAGAGACTTGACGCATCTCATCCTCTTCTTCTGACAACTGGCGCAACCTTTCAGCCTCCATCTGTAAGATCTCCTCCTCCCCCATGGCGTATTCAGCAGCTGGTGCAGCTTCAAAGCTGTCCGCACCCTTCTGTTCGTAACCGCTTCCACCACCTTGGGAACTCGCAGAGGGATCCCCTTTAATCTTGTTCAGAGGCCTCCTGGCCGCTTGCAGCACTTCTCCAATCAGATCGGTCTGAGACCCTTGGTCTACCATTCGGCCCGAAGTCGAAGTCGACGGCTGATACCCATGTTTTTGCAACACGCGTAAAACAGTCACCTCCATTTCACGGTCTATACCACCAGTCGCATCCCAGTTCCTTTTTTCACCAGGCTTTGGCGATACAGAGACAGCACGTCCTTCAGCTTCAGCATTGCTAACCATATCCACATTGGGATTCATACCCACGTTGGGGTCTTCTGCAACCAAGGCTTCTTCCAGATGTTCTTCAGCGCCAGGCATCACCTCTTCCAGCACCGCCCTTTCACCCAGAGACTCAGCTGCACCATTTCCAGCTCCACCATTCTGTCCACCATCCGAGGAAGGTTGGAGCCATCGCTTGGGAGAAGGCATTGCTTCTTGATCCCAAAGATCTGAAGAGAACACTCAACCGCAGGGAACCTAATTTGGGCTCATAACCTACGGGGGCAACCGAAAGGGAACAGGGAAAGAAACCAACCCTCAACAGTCGCCTATATGGATTTCCCAGATCGAACCAGAAACAAGAACACCCACCCCTAAGGGGACAGGATAAGGGAGAAGGGACGGGACTACTCCAACCCGTTAAACCCAACCCCAGGCGTACGTACTTTTTCAACAAAAGCTGACGGCTCTTGGCCATCTTGAGCCATAAAGGGTTTCCGGGCACGTTGACCCTTCCAACACCCAACACTAACTCCTTTCTACAATACCAGTTGCAGCTCCGCATAGGGTTTAGGGTTTAGGGTTTAAGGTTTAGGGTTTCGCGATGTAGGCTGAGGCGGGAGGTGAGCACCATGAGCATCAGCTAGGCACTTGTCTGGCCACGCGGCGCTGTGCCCCCTATTAACTTGCAAAGTTGCAGAACGATGTGCTCCCCAGTGATTGGGTACCCTTGACCATCACCTGGGCGCTTGTCCAACCGCCAGGACCTAGGACTATATCCCCATTTTTTTTATAAAAAAAATTTGTTTATATAAATCCCAAGAGGATATTAAAAATATGGTTTTGTATTATTTTTTTATTAAGGTTCTAAGGGAAGTATAGAGGAGCTTGAACCAACCCTGCCGCGCTGATTGGCCACTACGAGGATCATGAAAGTGCCGGGGCAAAGATCTGCCTTGCTGAGGTCAGCCGCGATGAGACCTTGGCCTCCGAGCGCCGTGAGGCTGGCTAGCCGGTTTAAGGTTTAGGGTTCAGGGTTCAGGGTTTAGGGTTTAGGGTTTAGGGACCACCTGCGATTCCAGCGCGGTACAACATTCTTGCGAGCTTGTGTATAGAAGCTAAGTCCCAACGCCTGCATGTCTTTCGCTGACCAAAGCTTGGGTGCATGTCCTAGGATGCCCAGTAGCGCCCTTATTCCTTTCCTTTTTCTCGGGAAAAAGGTTCGCTCATAACTTCCTTAAGCCAGAAAGGGGCACGATGTTTTAATCCTAGGTTGCTGGGCAACCCAGCTTCTATATCCCCCTTGGGAGTTATTCTTGTGTATAATAAAACCCAAGAGGATATTAAACATACTACTTTAAATAAGGTTCTTCAATAAGGTTCTTTCATAAGGTTCTTTAATAAGGTTCTTCAATAAGCTTCTTTAATAAGGGTGTTTTGATAAGGTTCTAAGGGGAGCATAGGCTTCGGCCCTGGTGACGGAGCTTCGTGCCCAGGCGTCGACAGCCGAGGCCAGGGATGCACTGTGTGGCATTTGGGGGGTCGGGGGGGTGCCTGCCGAGCTGCTGATTGCTTAAGAGAACCCCCCAAAAAATGAAAGCATATTCTCTCCCTTATTAAGGGAAATATAGGGATTAAAAGCATATTCTCCCTTATTAAGGGAACTGTAGGGATACTCTTTTGGGGTTCTTAAGCAAGCAGTAGTCGAGCCCCCAAGTGGTCTTCTCTGCATCAACGAGTGCTAGAAGAACCAAGAGCTCTGGAAAGTGAGAGTTTCGTCACCCTGAACCCTGAACCCTGAGGCTCAAGCTCGCAACTTGCATCATTGGCAACATGGCAAGAGAGGCAACTCAACACAGACTCGGGGTTCTAACGGCAGTTCGTGTAAAGAGGGGCAGGCATCTCTGCGCCAGGTTTTCAGCGTAAACACCGTCAAGCATCCTCGTCCTCATCCGGGGGCTTCTTGTTGCTTACGCTTCGTCAACTTCCAAAAGAAAGTTGAAGCGAAGGATGGGCCGGATGGGTTTCGGACCACTTCCGGTGGTTGCTCAAGTTGCCTTGCTTGCGGCCGCCCTGAGCGCAAAGCCCCTGTGCCGGGACACCGCGGCTTCAGCTGCATGGCAGGACTGCAGAGAGACGGGCTTTTATAAAAACAAGAAACAAAATTCAGTTGTTCTTTCAAAAAAGCACAAGCAAAAAACAACTGGTTTTTATAGAGGCAATTTTTATGGCAGGACTGCAGAGTTCAGATTGGTGGCCTGGCTATCCAGGGAGCTGCGGCCTTCGAGAATTCTCTCGGGCCGACCTTCCAGGACTACCTAACGCGACGGCTCAATGCATCCAAGGGCTTGGAGTTCGAAGCCATTCCGCTGGATTTTAATCAGAACTTTGAGCTCGTGGGCGCCGGGCAGGTGGACTTCATTTTTAGCAACCCAGCAGCTTACACATGCATGGCTGTGGAGTTCAACTTGCGGACCGTGGCGTCGCTCATCAACTATCGCAAAGGCAACGCGCTTGGGCAGTTCGCAGGCGTGATTTTCACCAGGCAGGACTCGCCTTTCCACACAGTTGACGACTTGCGCAACGCCACCGTCGAGGCTGTCTCGATCTCTGGGTTGGGTGCAATGCAGCTCCAGCAGGCAGAACTTTTATCTCAGGGGTTGGACATCATGACAGACGTGCCTCAACTTATCTTTGCCTTCAACCAGAACAAGATCGTACAGGACGTGGAGCTGGGTCTCGCAGACGTTGGTTTCGTGAGAACCGACTTGATTGACAGAAACGTTGCCGCCAACAAAACAAAGTGGGAGTACTTCAGGGTCATCGGCCAAATTGCTGATTCGGACTTCCCCTTTGCTCGGTCCACCGATTTCACACCTGAGTGGCCCATCGGTGCATTGCCCCACGTTCATGCTGAGGTCACGGAGCTTGTGGCAAGCTCCCTGATGAGTCTTGACCGCTTCTCACCAGATCCCGAGCTCTCGGAACCGGCCATTGCAGGTAACTTTGCCAGCTGGTCTACACCCATGAACTACTTTGGCCTCTTGGACATGCTAAGGAGCATCCAGTACTATGACCAAGACCGAAACTTCGTCCTAGTTGGGTAACATTTTACATTTTTAAGGGTACTTAAACCCTATAAGGAATATGAATATGTAAAAATCTCATACGATCCCAACCATGAATCAGGAAAAAAGTGCCTGCGAAGCTCGGATGAGTACGAGGCAATCAACTGTCCCAGTGGCTTTGTGAAGAAGGCGAGGGACAAGGTCTTCTGCGAGGACTGTCGCGAAGGCTACAGCTGCCTGTGCTCCCCATGCGCGAAGCTACGTGATCCAGAGTATGTGCTGAAAGCTTCATTGTCAAGCACTGCTTGGAGAGGCAACATCGATGTTGAGAAGGTGAACAACGACTCCCGCGTGGCGAGCAGCTGCGAGCGCATGTCTGTGTGTGGCCAGGTCTTTGCCGGACAGAAGGTCCGGTGGGTACTTTTGGATCAGATCGGGACTGTCAGCCGGCTTGCCATCAATGCGCCACTGGTCACCAGTGTGCGTGTTCGCACTAGTATTGATGGAAATTGGCACCCTGCAGATGTTCGAAACATCAGTTTGGGCCAGGAGGACACGCAGGAGTACTTTTTTGAGTACGATGTGGAAGGGTCTGGAACACAGATCATTCAGGTGGACATCAATGGCGCGCCAGCAGCTCTGTCACCCGTGGTGCTCGAAGTCCTCCCGCCCCCAATGCGGATAATTGACTGTCCTTCAGGCAGGCAGGCGGATGCCGATGGCGTTTGCACGCCGTGCGCAGCGGGTACTGCTTCGATCGGTGGCGGTGCCCCATGCCGCCCATGCGATCCGGGGACTTTTCAGCCAATTGCAGAGCAGTCAAACTGTGAGGCGTGTCCGGTGGGCACTTTCCAGGCTCTGCCGTCGTCAGTGGAATGTCAGCCGTGTCCACCAGGTTATTCCAGCCGCGGGAAGACAGGATCTCTGGTATGCAGTCCATGTGACCCTGGCCAAGAAGCGCCTAACAACGGCTCAGAGAGGTGTTCTCTTTGCCACCGTGGCTTTTACAGTGAAGAGGAAGGCTCTAGCAGTTGCACTCAGTGTGAGGGAGGTAAGGGGACGGCGGAGCTGGGTGTGACAGATCCATCTCTGTGCATTTGCCTCCCCGGCGAATTTCTCGTGGGCGCTTACAACAGCAGCGGCTCGACGGACGGCCACTGCACCCCGTGCACCACAGGGCTTTTGTGTCGAGGAGGCAATGGCGCCCCACTGCAGAGGGCAGGGTTCTGGGTGGACAACACGCTGGGGGCGTTCGAAACGTTCCGATGTCGCGACAGCTGGCAGTGCCCAGAGGGGCCTTTGGGCACCTGCGCGGATGGTCGTGAAGGGCGTGCCTGCAACAACTGCAAGGAGTGGCACCGCCAAGGTCAACGAGGCAGATGCAAGCCTTGCGAGGGGGTGGATGTGCTGCCCGTGCTGCTGCTCATGATGGCAACCTTGCTGCTGGGAGGGCTTCTGCTCTCCTTCGTCCATACCAATGCGGCACGTCAGAGGCTCGGACAGGTGACTGTGTTCCTGACAGCTGGGCAGATCATCCTCATGCTGCAGCTTATGGCGGCCATGAGGAACTTGGACCTGCAATGGACAGGACCCGCGCTGCATGTGATTGACTTTCTTGAGATCTTCGCCTTCGACGTGGACTTTCTGAACGTCGGATGCGTCGTATCCAACGATGGCGCCGTGCTTACTTTTGCCATGCAGCTGCTGGCCTATCCAGTTTTCGCAGGGTTGCTCGTGCTGGTTTGGCTATGCATCAGCCGCCTGGGGCTGGAGGTAACACGCAATGACGTCATCAACATGAACGGCTTGGCTTTGCTCACGCTGTACATGACCCTGACCATCAACTCACTCTTGCCGCTGCAATGCGTCGCCAACCCCAACGGAACGTACAGCATGCAAACACAGCCTGGTGTGACATGCTTCGAGTCCGATGAGCATTGGGCCTTGATGTTCATGTGCGTCCTCGGCATCCTCATGTATCCAGTGGGAATTCTTTCCGTGGCCCTCCGAGCCACAATCATGTATCCGTCCTACATCAGCTCGGGGAAGGGACTTCTCATCGTCAACCGATACCGATTCCTTTTCGAGCGCTTTCGTGCCAGTCGCTACTACTATGGGGTCGCCTATCTGCTGAGGAACACGCTTCTGTCCCTGATTCCTGTTGCCGTGGCTAGCCTTCCCACCGTCCAAGTCGTGTTGCTGGCGGCCGTGCTTCTCGCAGGAATGCTGGTGCAAATTCGCACTTGGCCTTGGAGAACGCAGGTGGCGAACGTCACAGACATGCTCTTCTCCACAGCCGTGATCCTTTTTCTGGTGGTGGTGGGGCCCATTCTCAGTGACAACATTGCCACCGATACCAAGTCTTACGCAGTCTTCCTATCCTGGTCCTTCTGCATGCTGCTGGCTTTTGCCTCGCTCACGTTGCTTGTGGTGATCCTTCTTTTTCTCTGGAGACGGTGCCACCCAGAGAAGACCTACAAGATCTTCTTGACACATCACAAGGGTGCGGCCGGGGCACTTGCGCGCTTCATCAAGAGCATTATGAGCAAGCACTCGCATGACAGAGTCTTCCTGGATTCTGATGCGCTGCAGGACTTGGACTCTCTCTTCGAGTGCGTACGCAGCAACGTGGCCTACCTCGTGCCGCTGCTCACACCTCACATGATGACTCGCCCCTGGTGTGTCGGGGAGCTCGTCACCGCCCACTTCAACCGCGTGCCGATTCTGCCCATCTCCGTCGACGGCTGCCGAATCGCCTCCTCGCTGAACGCAGCACAGCTTGTGCACTCCTGGAGCCCCGACGACTTTCAGCCCCTCTTGGCCGTGGGCATCAACGAGGAGATGATCGAGGAGATGATCGGGCACCTTTATGGTCTGCCGACTCTCAGCCTCAGCCGTCGGGACTCCACGGAGGATCAAGAGGCGGCCATCCTGGGCATCATCACCAGCAGCGAGATGAAGCGCCGCCGCTTCGTGGACTCCGCCTCCACATCCGAGGGTGCACGTGTCCTGGTCATTGGGCACACAGAGGATGCCGAAGCGATGTCGGCCAGCATGGTGCTTCAGATGCTGCTGCAGCGGCTCCTGCAGGAGCGGGTGCACGGGCCGCGGACGCTTGCGGAATTCACCGCGGCGCTGCCCCACGCTGACAGCCTGGTGGTGCTGCTGCACAAAGGGTTGCTCTACAATCCGACATTTGCTGCGATGGTCCTGGAAGCAAGTCGACAGACCAGGGACAACAATGATGGCACCGGCTCGGAGCCTCCGATGACCAAGGTGCCTTCGATTGCATCATCTCACTCTGGGGGCGAGAGGCAAGGGTTGGCTTGGAGGCAGCTCCTCACCGTCAATGCAGACACCAGCTTCGTGTATCCAGGCCATGAGTTCTACACGGTCCTGCATGGACAGGGCCTGGGCACCGAGGATCTCGGACCAGACGTGGGGCCTCTTCTAGTGGATGCATACAAAGCCATCTTCAAGAAGATCTCCGTGCCTTTCGGCTGCTCTCATGCCGCAGAGCCCATGCTTCAGCAACAGGCGAAGGAGATCAGCAAGCGCCTGCTAGCCTCCATGGATGGTGGGGTGATGGGCAAGATAGCAACCGGCCGGGGAAGCCCGGGAGCCCCAACAGCTCTGGACTTGCTAAGTTCCGTGAGCCCGGGAAGTTCCGCAAGGTTGGGGAGTGTGCGCAACAGTTTCCGGCAAAACACGGACAGCAAAGATCTGGAGAAGCAGTTTTCCCCAGCCGTGCCCTGTGCGCCAGATCCTGGTGACCTAGAGGCCATGGTTCATATCATCTCAGACCGCCACTCAGAGGCAAGAAATCAGCCTGGGGACCCAGGTGCAATGATGGAGTTGTCTCAAGACCTTTGGTCTGAGCTGCCGCAGCCAGATGATGTAAAGCATCATCTTTCTTTCTAGCCGCTGAAGCTTGTAAATTGACTGCAGATGTGGCTCGGCTGAACGTCAGCCAGTTCACTACGAGCACAGACACAGACCCGCTACATTTTTGGTCACACTTCAGAGTGGCACCTGCTTGTTATTGCAAGTGTGCTTAGCATCACACATGGTACCAGTGCAGCATTTGCGCATGCAAAAGGTAAAGAAAGTTTGCAGGGCCACACAGACCACCCTGCTGCCTTCCATCTGCATTTATGAGATGGGGAAGCCACCGTTCGCGCGTTACCCCAAAAATGGGGCAACCCTTCTGGTTTTTCCACCCCTGCAGGTCTGAAAGGCTTTTCCGTCAGAGTGGTCAGGAGACACTGCGACAGCTACATTTGCCACCCGTGCCTTGAGACCCTCTCAGGATCTCGGAAGGCATTCGTTTGGTTCTGTCCAGCTCTCAAATGTTCTCAACATTTTGACCAGCAAGCCCGGGGAAAAGAGAAAGAAGACGAAGCCCCAAAGGTTCAAGGGCAAACTCCGCAATGCCTTTCCACAAAGCGCCAGTCTCAACCCTAAACCCTAAACCCTAACCCTAAACCCTAAACCCTAAACCCTAAACCCTAAACCCTAAACCCTAAACCCTAAACCCTCCCCAGGAGCAGCTCTCGGCAGAGCTGCGCGCGGCCTCCCGAGCCGCGCGCACGGCCGAAGCCGATGCGGCGCGGGTCTCGGGAGTTACATGGCAAGTGTTGCTAAACCCTAAACCCTAAACCCTAAACCCTAAATCCTAAACCCTAAACCCTAAACCCTAAACCCCGTCCTGGGCTTGCGGTGCAGACTCGTGTTTCACGTTGGCGCCCGATATTCGCTCTTTGGAGATGGTGCTGCAGAAACCCTAAACCCCTATTAAACCCGAAACCTTACACAGGGACTGGTACCTCCCAGGAAGGGTTCTGAAACCTCACATCCTGGAGTTTTGAGGGTCCAAGAGCCTTCAAACAAAAGCAGAGAACCCCGAAGCCCCCCGAAACGTCTGTAACCACAAGATTCCACGCTACTGTCCGAGGCCTCCGCCAGAAAAGAGGCGCGCTCCGATGTCCTTTGCAGGTTTGTGTGGTGTGGCCGCAGCGGCCTCGATGCACTCACTGCGTGCTCGAGTTGGATTCAAAGAAACGGCAGCTCGGTTGCTGTGCAGTGCTTTAAAATCTTCCATGTATCTGTTGCTGCTACGTACGTACCTTTCTTGGTGTCTTCAAGAAGTATACCTTCTCGACCGCGTGGGGGGTGCATGTGGGTGAATCTTGGAAGGCTTCTGCCACGGCCCTATCTGCACGCGAGGGTTTGACTCGTGGACCCCTCAGCTGCTGCGTAAGCCTTCGTTGCAGTAAGCCAATCCTAAACCCTAACCCTAAACCCTAAACCCTAAACCCTAAACCCTAAACCCTAAACCCTAAACCCTAAACCCTAAACCCTAAACCCTAAACCCTAAACCCTAAACCCTAAACCCTAAACCCTAAACCCTAAACCAAAGCGAAGCACGAGTTTGAATGATAATTAGTCCTTTGCAAAGTGCTGGTAATTAGTATTTTGCACGAGTCCCGTGGTGACTCAGGGAGTTGTGTGCGGTACTTGTGATCGGGTTTAGAGGCTTTGGGTTCAAGTTTGCTTCTTCTGCCCTGAGTTCACACACGTGACCGCTGTATTGGATTTAATTCACTATGTCTGGGGGTGGTGCATGCAGATGCTTGAAAGGGGGCATGCTAACCTATGGGGGTTGTTCTGTTGGTTCCCTTTGGTGAGGTCTAGGTGCCTTCGGTTTTGCCCTTTCTCACCTTCATGAGCTTCCAGCCTCCCTAATTGGTGCGACCATGATCCTTGCCCTCCTTAGGAGGCATACAAGTCACAATTCGCCAATATGATGCATGCAAGTCATAATTCACTAACTTGGTGCATGCCGCTAATTTGGTGCATGCAAAAGGCAGTAACTGCAAGCCAAGGCAGTCGAGGCTGGGTGGGCCTGAGTTCGCACGTGCTCTCTTACTGTGTCCTAGTTGTCTTGTCCTGGGGACATCCCACGCATGTACCGCCGGGCTGGGAACTTCATTTGTCAATAGCAAATTTGCACCAAAATTCGTGACACGTGAGCGACCTGCATGAGAGCGCAAGAGCGAAGCTCTAGCTCTGCAGTTGATGTTTCAGTTGGGAATTCGTAATTCATCTTTTGACGCAGGCCCCGGATGATCATGATACTTTCCCGTTAGCGCCAGGCTGGAGTGCCCACTGTGTGGTTTGTTCCTCTTTCCCGTATGTAGAACAAGGGGCAAGTACCATACCGCGAAGTGGAATGGTGGATGTGAAATTAAAGGTAAGCATGCTTCTCTCGTGCTAAGCGGTGCGTCGACCTGGACTAAAAAAGTGGCTGGCTCCCCAGCACCCCCTGAAAGGACACGGGTACCCATGATACACACCTTCTAGTTGCCTGTTTTGTTGTCCCCTACAGCTTTCCCCTTCCGTGCCCCCAGCACAAACAAGGATTCCTTCCACATAGTGACTTGGTTAGGCCCCCCTCCCCTCCCCCACCCCCCCCCCAAAAAAAAAAAACACACACACACACACAAACACTGAGGCAACAACAGCATCATGCTACGAAGAGATGACCTCTACCAGGTTTTTCTTTCTGTTCCTCCACTTTTTCCCGAACACGATGCACACGTCGCGTGGCAGTCTAGAGCTCTGAGATCCTCATGACTAGCTTCTCCACTTGCACGATGCACAAGTCGCGTGGCCGTCTAGAGCTTTGAGATCCTCATGACTAACTTCCCACTTGCAGTATTGCAGTACAGCAAGGCTCATGTGTAAATCTAGCCCACGGCCTCAACCCTCTCCCCTAAGCCCTGTGCCTCCCTGGCGTGCCTCCCTCACTCCTGCCTTCCTCCATCTCTCCTTCCTCTCCCCTCCCCCTTGAGGACCCCCCGAAAACCTTGGGAACCACAATAGGAGTGTGAAACTCAACATGATACAACTTCGTCAAACGGTGGAAAAAGAGTGGAGGCACTGGCCTTTGACAAGCTCCAGAAACCAGAAGGGATCACTACCCAGGACCTCCTAGACCTTTGGGACGCTCTCCCCAAACCATGCTTGCAGGGTCCCACACAAGGCAGATCCTATATCACGGGAGCCAGTCACAGACACTCGGAGGCGCCTGTACACAACACCTTTGACACGCCATGTGTTACACAGGCCCTTACACGATACATTAGGACCAGAGCTCCGGGGATCCCCTTTGCGGGGGCCACCATCAGGGAGGGCTCCGCTAAGGGTGTCCACCGAGACCCTATGAACTCGGCGATTCCTGCGATCGTCATGGGGTTGACGAACCATGACGGGGGAGATCTCTGGATTGAACACCCGGAGGGAGATGTGGCTGTGAACCACGAGGGTGCGGTGAAGAGGGGTAAAGTCTACGACATCAAACGTATGCCCGTGGTCTTTTCTTCCTGTACCCTACTCCACGGGCCCATGCCCTGGACTGGAACACGTCGGCTGATCTTGGTGGCTTTTACCCCTAGGAATGTGAAAACATTCTCCACGGAACTCAAATCCCTGCTGCTCTCCCAAGGATTTGTCATGCCGACTAAGGCGCAGCTTTGCAGATATGGCGCACAGACGACGTGGCCAGGAACGGCTCAGCTGTCCCTGCCAAGCACCATCGTCAGACAGGGGGTTCAAGCTCAACCCTCCCATTCCATGCAGACCCCGATGACGGAGGTGGTGCCGCTCCTAGATGTCTCGAGCTCGGATGAAGACACTCAGGGAGTAGGTTTGCGGGTCACCGGGATGGCAAAACCCCCCCCCCCCCAATTACCTGCAGAGGCTACTGAAGGAGGATGCTGAGGATGTCGAAAATGAGGTCCCGTGGCTTGAACAACCGAAACCCTCGTCCGCTGCAACCCGAACATCGCGCCCTTCCCCCGGCCCGCCGCGTACACACCCACTGAATCCCCAGCCCCCCCCGTGCCTGAAACGCGCGCAACCACTGAGCCCTCAGCCGGAACATCCGGTACACCCTGACCCACCCCAGCGTATCAAGCGAGCCAAGACCCTCCCAGCCAGGCTGAGCCGGGCTGCCTCGGAGGGAAGCCAGCACGCGACATGAACATCCATGCTCCCCTCTCAAAGGGAGATATGCAAGTCAATTAGAGGCCGATGCACACACCCATGCATGCTTTGCAGACTTCACATGCACGCGTGACGGCTGTTCGTTCCGGTGGAGGGGAGGGCGAGTGAATCTTTGCACATACATGTCTGTTTGGGCAGCATGCTTGATTACAGGCGACCGCCTCTGACGCCAACATGTACCCACACAGCACACTAATGCAGGCAGCCAACAGGATCTTTGAAGTAGGCCACTGCCCTAAAACACTTAGCGTAAAGGACTGACGTCCTGACGCCACGCCATGCCCCCGGCTTTGCGTCCGCTCCAGGTCGTCGCCTCGTCTTGGCTCTTCTGCGCTCTCGCCTCTCCAGCCTCTTGCTCTCCCGTCTGTGACTCCCCTCCTTATCCTCCCTATTCCCCTACCCTTGACTCATATGTAAGTACCCCCCTACTAAGTGACTGTAACCCTAGTGGTCACTCCGTGCAGCCATGGCTGAAGCGTCATCTCCTCTGGATCGTGGTCCTCGGCGCCAGAACCCAGGGAAACAGAACAGCTGAGGACAGTACAGCAGGTTCAAAGCCCCTTGGAGGGCTTCTCCTGCAATTCTGGAAAAGGGACCAGGCATCAATTGGGGCGAGGCTGACTACGGTGGCGACAACAGCTCTGCGAAGGGGGACCAGGCCTGGGGCGAGGCTGACTACGGTGGCGACAACAGCTCTGCAAAGGATCAACCGAAGAAAGGCCGCAGGGTCCAAACTTAACTGGAATATGTGCAGCAGATCCAGGCCGCCAATATGTGCACCAGATCCAGGCCGCCGGTGGAGCTTTGGCTGTGAACCTTTGTGAATGACATGTCGTAACATAGACGCTGAATATGGGGAAGACAGCAGCGCTGTACAAGATCCATTGAAGCATGTGCGGCGGCTCCAGACCACTCGCAAAGCTCTTGCTGCCATCCAGGGCGATGTAGCGGAAGCACAGAGGAAAGAAATGCGCTGGCCATGGGGTGAGATGGCTGCTGGTTGTGGTGGGATGCACTACACACAGAGGAGGTAGGGAAACTGACTAACTGGCAGAGGAACGTGGCAATGTGAGCTGACAGAGCCTGACTGGCACCTGCGCAGCACAGCTGGCGATCTCGGTGAACACGTTTCCCCATCACCTGAGGAAGCCTCGAAGGGCCTCCGGCGTTCGTGGGCATTCCCAAGCTCTGCTCTGTGCATGAAAATTAGCAACCACGGGTCCCTCCAAATTTGTAATTTGTAATTCAGTCTCACACATCCACGCCAGCTCTGACGGGCCATGGGCGAAGGTTTCGGGTGTATATTTACTGGTGGTTAGACTTTGGTGCCTATCTGTTTAAGACCTTTTGACATGCTTGTGGCTGCAGAGCTCCCCTAATTCGTAATTCAGAATTAGTCATACTGAGCTCCTCTGAATCCGTAATTCGTAATTCGTAAATTCGGTGCACGCCCTCAACTTATGGGTAGGCTCGTCTTCCGTTTATAATGTATCAGGGTCGTTTATAGGGCTCCCTTACTTTGACTGTCGTCATACCAAGCTCCCTTAATTCGTAATTCGCTGCATGCCCTCGCTAGCATGTCCGCCAGGCTCCCCTAAGTCTTGGTGAAATGGCATATGCTGCTGTGGCCATGGATATTCATGTTCGCCGTTGTTGGCCTAGTAGGCCTTGGTACTTAGTCCTTTGTCAAAGGTGCACCAAGACTTAGATCAGAGCGACAGTAGAGCCACTCCCTTTGACATGTCGGCGCCAGTCGGATGTAGTTGCACTGATTCACTAATTGGCCACAGGCGTGCCCATAGCCGATATCTTGCTGCAAATCATCCGACTTGATGCCACGCGGGGCTGGATTTGCGTCCAACCTAACAGCACTGTTTGTGAAGTCTTGACGACCTCACAGGAAGGTTGTGATCTGCACTTACCGAGGGTAGTCCCCTATCTCTCAGCGGCCACAGGCGTGCCCATGACCTGAATTTAGGACCGACCTCGTGCGGATCATGACAGTTGCTCACACAAGGCCACATACCCGACGACTTCTTGTATGTCCTTTTGTGTACTCTGTTGGGTCCTTTGCTGCAAATTGTCGGTTGAGATGGGCCTGGACTGACTCCCTAGACCAATGAGCCTAGGCGGGTCGTGTACACAGTAGCAGTGAGGTGTATGTCAGCCTCCACACACAGCAAAAAGGAAAACTGCGCGGGGAATACTGCACTCATGAACGGGCCACAGGCGGGCCTATAGCAGATTTCACTCATCGGTGCCCGGGCAGTTCGCCTTTGAGATGTACCACAGCGGGCCGCCTCTTAAGGCCAGCTGTTTCACAGGGGGATGCACCGCGGGCTGAATGCAATCCATCTGGTTTGCTAGGTGGGTATTGCGTCCTTCCGGGCCTTCAACTAGTGTAATGTGGCCCCGCACCGACCTGCTGCATCCCCGCGAGCATTTCATGGACATTTGTAGCCATGCCATGTTGTCAGGCTGGATGCAAGGGCGTGTGGTTATGAGCTTCTGGATTGTACTGTTGGGCTGCTTTGGGCCTAGGGATCGGGGTGCCTCTAACCTGTCCTCTGAGTATCCAGCCTGGCTGCAGCCGTTAGCAGACATTTGAAGTCGCAATCCTCCCGGAAGCCTGACAATGCAAGCCGGACGGCATGCAATAAGGCTGCCATGTGCATAGTTATGTTGTGGCCACGCGTGGGGCCGAGGCAAGGCGCGACACGATGCTGGGTTTAGGGTCTGGTCTAGTGTTGTGTGTTCCTGCCTGCCGCGCCCTCAGTAAAGCTGGTCGCCCTGCCGTTTTCAGCCACTTGCCCCGGGATCTATGTATGTTGGGGATTAGTGGTGTGTTGCTTTGGGGGTTCCTGGTTTGGTGTTTGGGGGGCACTCAAGGGCTGAATTCGGTGTCTACACCCCCACACGTTTCCTCCTCTGAATGCCTTGGGCGAGACTCCTCCGGGTAGGGAATGTGCTCTCAGATCCCTGGAGGAGGTTTCCTTTTGCCTTTTTCCGAGACCGACCATGTAACCCCGCTTTGCTGTGGCTAGTCGGGTGCCAAAAAAAACCCTAAACCCTAAACCCTAAACCTAGGTTTCCCTGGGCTTTCTGCAAGGCCCTCCCACTTCACTGTGTTGCGCATGCTGAGGTGAGGTCGAAGAAGTGGCGGACTTATCGGTAGAGCCATGTCACGATGCGCAGACTGCTGCCTCATTGCAAGCTCACCCTCACCCTCACCCTCACCCTCACCCTCACCCTCACCACCCTCACCCTCACGCTCACGCTCACGCTCACGCTCACGCTCACGCTCACGCTCACGCTCACGCTCACGCTCACGCTCACGCTCACGCTCACGCTCACGCTCACGCTCACGCTCACGCACATCCACACTCACAAAGACGCACTCACTCACTCACTCTCTCTCTCTCTCTCTCTCTCTCTCTCTATCTCTCTCTCTCTCTCTCCCTCGCCCTAAACCCTACAGCCCCTAACCTCCGAAACCCCTCTAAGAGACCCTCCCGAGGTGAAGGCGGCCTTCGAGCTGCGTCGAGAGCAGCAGGTCGGAGAGGTCCTCGCCGCTTGGGGCCGTTTTGGGATTTTAGGTGTTTGGGTTTCGGATTGAATGTAGACATTTAGGGTTTAGGGTTTAGGGTTTAGGGGGGCTCTTGGGAGAGAAGAGTTGGGTTCTACTGATCTGAGGTCACTTCAGGTGTTTGGGTTCGCTTTTTTGGGACGCAAAGCAGAGAGTCGCAAGCCCAAATAGTCGGAAGCGCCCGCCCGCCGAGGAGTGAGAGCCACAGCCCTACAGTCGAAACCTTTAAAAGCCGTCATAGAGAGCTGTTACTATGGGGGGACATCCCAGCTTGTGAGCCTTACAAGCTCTTGACTTGTTGAAGCCTGCTTCATATAAGCCCTGAACTTTGAAAGCCTTAACTTGACCCCCCAAATGGGGGATCATTTTATGGTTACAAGGTACCCCCGAATTTCGGAGAGAACCCCCCCAAATCTTTATCTTCGCTTTGCCAGGTCTTGGCCAGGCTGGAAGGAGAGCATTTCCGCCTGTCCGTGGAAGCGGCGCAGGAGGTGCCGTGAAGTTCGAGGATTGATTTCGGGGGGCTTCGGGGGGTTGATGTGGAAAAAAAAACTTCGACTTCTTCCTTTTGGCCCGAATCTTTGTGCAGCACCGTTTTGTGTAGCCCGTAGAATCCCCCCCCGTAGAAGTTTACTTCATCCAGCTCCCACTCCGCCCCAAGTTTGCTGGCCGTGAGCGCATCTAGTGCTGAGAGGAACCCTCTGTCGGCCCTTCTCCCCCCAGATGCTCGGTCAGGCAAAGCGCCGCCTGAGCGCAGAGGAAGAGGCCTCAACATCCAAAAGGGGTCATCCCGCGACACGCAGTGCTGTTGTACAGATTTTTGCATTTTGGCTTTGCCTACTGTTGGCTCGCTAGCAGGGAATGAAGGCACAGAGATATCATGCGGGCCCAGAATTGCTGTTACTCTTGATCTTCCCTCCCCCTGGCCCACCCACGGAAGAGAAAGCACGCAGATGCCTCGGAGGCCACGCAGCTGCGAACAAAGTTGGACAGCCCTTGCCTTGGCGCAGCCAAAGAAGCCACCGAAGCCTATCTTTCCACGAGTCATGCATACTGCAGTTCCTCACTTGCCTGTCGTTTTTCATATGTGTCGTGTTTCTCGCAACCCATGATCCTGTTCCACTCGAGACCCTTGTGTAGACTTCGGCTTTCCTGAGCTCGGCAAGGTCTTCGCAGTCTGCTGGCCTGGAGCTCGGCTTTGAAGGAGTGGCTTTGGGGGCCCCCCCTTGCTTTCCCTTTCTGCTTTGCGTTTACCTAAGCGCTTGAGCCTTCCTGAACCCGTAAGCCCTAAACTCTTCAAAGCCCTTAAGTCCTAAACCCTAAGCTAGCACATCTCCCCCCCTCAAGAATTCCAACAGGTCGTGTTCTCAGGGTTTTCGCGGTTGGTTAGGGGTGCTTGTTGGGGTCCTTTCGGAAGCTCATGTGAGGCGGCCCAAGTCGCAGAGGTGGAGGAGGCAAAGAAGGCGCCCACGCTGCCCCTTCTTTTTGTGTGCGTGGGGGGGGGGGGGGGGGGGGGGGGGGGGGGAAGTTTGGGGAAGTTGGGGATGGTCCGACAGTCCTCACTGAAGCAACTGCTCTCGGGTGCCAAGGGGGGGAGTGGACCGGAGGCTGTACCTGGAGGTTCAGGGGTACAGATAAGTAGGGTTAGAATTATATAAGGTTGTAGGGTACTTACCGCCCTACCTCTAGGTACGCATGTAGCACCCTACTTCTAAGCACCCATGAACCTCCAAGTGGCAGTCCAGGCACCTGAGACGGTGGAGGTTGGCATCCTGACGGACAACGAAGGCTGGCGTAGCCTGTGCGGCAGCGTTGACAGGCCCTGTGAAATTCAAGAGGCTGCCTTTTGTTTGCGACCATCCGCATGGTCCAAAACAAATGGGTTTAGGGTTTAGTTTAGGGTTTAGGGTTTAGGGTTTAGGGTTTAGGGTTTAGGGTTTAGGGTTTAGGGTTTAGGGTTTAGGGTTTAGGGTTTAGGGTTTAGGGTTTAGGGTTTAGGGTTTAGGGTTTAGGGTTTAGGGTTTAGGGTTTAGGGTTTAGGGTTTAGGGTTTAGGGTTTAGGGTTTAGGGTTTGTCCTAGACAAAAGGGGGCCAGATTGCCCGACACACGAGATGTTGGGGTGACGGCTCCATCCAGGCGAGGACGTTCTGCAAGCCTGCTGCAAAAGGGTTTAGGGTTTAGGGTTTAGGGTTTAGGGCCAGTTGCAAAAGGGTTTAGGGTTTAGGGTTTAGGGGATGGAAGTCATAAGAACCGGCAAGCTTCAGTATGACGCACTGACACCAAAAACTATCACAGCCTTCTTCTTCTTCTTCTTCTTCTTCTTCTTCTTCTTCTTTTTCTTCTTCTTTTTCAGGCGCGCCGGAGCCAATGCCCTCGCCCGGCCGCGAGGCCCCAAATGGGGCTGCAAGAGCTGTAACTGATAACTGGTGGGCGCGGGTGAGTTTCTTAGCCGCAACCTTGTGTGGTGAAGCCCAAACCCTGGAAACCCCTCAGACCCCGACTGCAGCTCCCCCCCCCCACCACGACAAGAACACAACGAACACCCACGGACCCGAAACGCTTCAGGGATAAAAGTGAATCTGCACAGAGAATCAAGATTAGCATGTCCCCGCAAAGATGACACAAAATCGAGAAGTGCATTCATGGAACAATCCATACAAAAACCCAAACGCCCTTTTTTTCAACCCACAAAACCCTACACCGTGCGAGTGCGAGAGTTGAAACCATCCCAAAGAGCCCGCGCCAGGCGCTGCGCTTCCGCCTGGCCGAAGCGGAGGGCCGGTTGCGCCTCGGCCCATGAAGGGATGATGCCCGATGTAGGGATATTCCCCAAAACGGTGTGTCAAGTACTAAGGGGTTCCTGCGTTCGGAATTAAATATAGGGGTAGGAAAATGTTGCCGCGCGGCGTCCGGGACCCGTGCGGTGAGTCTGAAAGCCTGGCTTTTGGGATAAAAGTCCGCGCTAGCCTAGGCGCGGGGCCGCCCGCCCTCGCCGTCTTCGAAACTGTCGTCGAATTTGGACGTCCGTCTTCGCGAAATGATGTGGGTGCCTTGCTTGACCAAATAATGTGAGACCGTCGTCGCTGTTGGGCTTTGAGCCCTTGGTGTCCTTTGCACGTGCTCCTGGAGCATTGGAATGAGTCTTTCGTGTCTCCACGGTCTTCTCCCTGTTTGGGGTTTACCTGGGCATGGTGGTTCCTTAAACTGCACGTGAGGATCCCTCTTCTAGCTCAGGGAATGTTCTTTACCCAACAGGTATGGTTGGGTTCTCTAACTTCTGAGACTCAAGACGATGCTTCAGGGTTGTCAGCCAATATCTTGTGAGGAAGGGTGAAGGGTGTGCCCCCGAGGAGCTGCCACATGGATGACTCGGCTTCACAGCTCGAGCCGCTCGGCTTCAGGAAGTGCCAGTGCGATGTCACGTAGCACAGTGCCACGAAGCCATCGGCCGTGTTGCGCTTTGGGAGCTGCAAAAGCAACAGGCCGCCCACTGTGAGCCCAAGCCCCTTGGCCCAAAGTCCTCAAATTCCAAAGTTTTAACGCCAATCAGGCCTGAACCTCGTTCGGGAACCCCTCAACTTGCTCGAAGGGACCCTTTTCGAGGCTCCTGGAGACGCGGCTGCGCCGAGTGTTGGCGTCGAAGAACGACGTCATCGACGAGCTCAAGGCCTCAATTCTTGGTTGTGGGACAGCTTGGGGGTGTCATGCATATAGGATATCTCATAATTGCATGCTATATTGCCAGAACCCAGTAATGACATTGATGTGATACATTTTTCCATCATTCTATGTGTGGGTCCAGCCCAAACGACTCGGAGTCTCTGGTTTGGGTGCGAAGGGACTCGTCCCCCCCGAGCAGGACGAGCTCGGGCGCAGGGAAGTGGAGATCTTCGAAGCCCGGAGCATCCTCGCAGGACTGCATGCGGCCGAGGAGCCACAAAAAGAGCCGAACCGTGCAGGGTACGTAGGTGTGTATGCACGGCCAGTTGCAGCCATGTAGGGGCTGTTTGATTGGGGTTCTGAAGAGGTCCGAGCTGCTGCTCCCAGGGATTTGACAATTTCCCTGGCGTATGTCACAAAGGGTTGGAAAAGGATGCTCAGTGACTTTCTGAATTCGCGCCCAGGGTACCCAATCTGCTGCGTCCTGCCATACATGCACGTCATGTGGACCCGCCTGACTCTGCCAGCACAGCCGGGGCTGCCATGCTACAGCTTGAGTCTTTGCGCGGCCGGAATCTCTGCAGTTGGCGGGCTCAGGAGCTGGTGCCGGCGTCTGCGCCACATGGAATTCAGATGTTGAATGTTGGTTGAGTTCATCCCTTGAGTCCACTTGGGCAGCTTCGTATGCCCAGGGTTCCGATTCCTACCTGCCGTAAGTGCTGGAGGCGCGGTACCAGGAGGGCCGCGGCCCTGCTTCTGTGCGGATTCCTCCTTCGAGTCGTATGGACGGCGGCGCCTTTCGTGCACCCGGCCGTGTCCAGAAAGCATCTGCCAAGGACCCGCATTCGTACATGAGCATGTGTCTCTGTGCACGTGGCGGTTGACTGGTGTTGACTGGTGCTTGCTCGGGGCGTTTTATCTTCCTACACCCGCCGTATCCTTATCTATAAGGCATTTGTGTTTGCACTTCGTACAGTTTGCTTCGTAAGTTCCGAGACATTCTTCCTCGCACCTTCTGCAAGGACGTGGCGCGCTGCTGTAGTTGGGGGCACCGCCGATGTGCAGGGCGGCCTGGCGGAAAGCAGAGGCTCAATTCAAAAAGCGGCTCGGAGTCCCCGCAATTAGATGCCTTGCCGCGGTGGTATCATACAGCCCGTGACAGCGAGGTCGTGACACGGCCTTCATGGAGCGCCTCCGCGGCCTGGCGCGGGAGGCGCGAAGCTGCCGAGCATTTGGCATGACAAGAATTTTCGTAACAAGCCGATTCAGTCCGAGCCGAGCAGTTTTGTCAGTCGCACGCCGCAAGCATTTGGGTGTAGCTTGCACAATTTGAGCTGAACAAGTTCGGAATGGTAAAAATGCAAATAGGCAAGCTGCCTCCTTTTGTGCCGATGCTGCAGGCGCTGGCATGGCCGTTTCTCGATGAACAGGAGCGACTGGTCTGGGCAGCGGTGCTGGAGTTCGACGCCGTGCCCACACAGGAGGGCCAACGAGAGGGAATGTGTGATGACATGTGGTTTGAAGTTGCATCTCCAGTTTGTGTCCCAGGAGTTGCCCCCGTGGTTCTTCCAGCGTCACAACTTCATCCGCCGCCGGCTAGGCCAGGGTCACGGAAAAAGCAACTGAATGCTTCTTCATAGCTGCGATGCCCACCAGCATCTTATTTGACCCAAGTCCATTATGTTGCTCATTGTTGCTTTTGAGTGCCTTGTTCACAGCTGGATTCCAGGCGTGGACCTCTTCAGCTTGGACGGGCGGCGGGCGATTCTCTGCAGGGCTGGGAACGTTTCCCACTCGGATGTGAAGCGGTTCCTGCGAACAGCCCCGTGCGTGTCAAAGGTGCGCGAGTGGGTCAGGTGCTTTTTAGGCGCTCTGTGTGTGTGTGTGTGTGTGTGCGCAGGGGACCCAGCTTCGCTTCCACAGGATGCTGAGTGCACGCTTTGGACCCTCCGCGGCTGCAAGATCTCCGCCGGTTCCAAAGGGTGGCTGCGCAAGTACGGAGGGCAGCACAAGATCCTCACGAAGAAGAGCCTGTCCCAGCTTTGCCAGGATGCCGCTTCCGCACTCGCATCCGGGGAGGAGCCTGACGGCCCGGCTTGCGACCCCCCGCTGCGGCCGTGCCAGCAGGCGTGCTTGGAGGCGTGCGCCAAAGGAGCTCGGGTGATCGAGATGGCCTGCGGCACAGGGAAGACGCGCGTGATGCGAGAGCTGGCCGAGAAGCAGTCTGGCCAGGTCACCTGGCAAAGTTAAACAGGAGTGGGCCTGTTAGGACTGTTAGGATGTATGTACGGTTCCAGGCAACCAGGGCTCAGAATTTAGGATTGTGGTAGACTCTTGGCACAGGTCTTGGTCACCGTCCCCTCGCGCGTTCTCCTGGAGCAGTTCGCCGAAGAGCTGCCGCTCTTCTGCAAGGTGGGCACCGGCTACAACGGCCAGATCGACATGGAGTCCCGTGGCTTCATTGCAGTGACCGACTCCGTGCAGCTTCTGCAAAAGTTGAAGTTCGAGGCCGCTTTCATCGACGAGGCCCATCACCCTGTGCCAAAAGGGATGCCGAGCTGCAAGGACGTCTTCAAGTTCTCTGCGACGCACAAGGAGGAGGCAGACTTCCGGTACAGTCTTGGTGAAGCGATCGAGCAGGGGGTGCTCTGCGACTACGACCTCACGGTGCCGGTAACGAGCGAGGGCCACCCCTACATCTGCCTGGCGAACCTGCTGCTGTCGCAGGCCGGGCGCTTCCGGCGAGTGCTGGCGTACTGCAACTCCATTGCAGAGGCCAGGCGGTTCCGCCGCGTGGTGAAGACCGTGGGGTTGGCGGCATGGCACATCAACGGCGAGACGAGTCGCAAGGAACGCGAGCGGGTGATGTGCCAATTTTCGGGGGAGTTGACGAAACCTGCGCATGTGCTGGTGACGGTTCAAGTGCTGGGCGAGGGCGTCAACATCCCGAACGCGGACACCTGCATGTTCGTGGAGCCGCGCAGCAGCTACGTGAGCATCATTCAGGCCATCGGCCGGGGCTTGCGCTTGCATCCAAGCAAGCCCTTGGCCCACGTCGTCTTGCCCGCTCTTGCAGTCCTTCATAGTCCGGCTGGTGCACTGCCGCTTTCTGCGAAGAGCGCCAGTCTGCAGGTCGCAGCTTCTTCAGAGGCACAGCCAAATGGAATCGCAGAGGTCTCGATGCTTGAACGCCCGGAGACGGACGTGGGCACCGAGGTCCCGCTTCGAGAAACACTGCTTGGGGGCCTCGAGCCTCACGTGACGGAGGCGGCCGCCAGGCAGAGTCGCCGCAACGCGCCGCCGGCCGCTCCTGGCATGAAAACTGCGGATGGCAAGGATGAGACTTCAAAGATTGCTGGAGAGGAGGGCGTGCCCGCAGCAGGCCAAAACAACCGAGAAAAAACCGACAGTGTAGCTGATGACATCGAGCGCCAGTCTGCAGAGCTCGAAGGGAGCCGCGTGGATTGGGCTGGTGAGCCATTCCTGCCAGCTCCGAAGCTTGGGGTTGACAAGGGTGGCAATGCGGTGCCTAGGGCAGCAGGAAACCCGACTGGCGTTCGGCCTGTCGTGCCAGTTGTGCCGTGCTCGGCCAGTGAAAGGCCGCCTGCAATCATGCCTGACTTCGGCACCGCACCTCGCAGGGCAGCTGGAGCGAAATCGGAACAGGAATGGCTCCTTGACGGGCCTCCGATCCAGGCCGTGAGCAAAGACCAAAGCCAGACTGGTTCATCGAGTGCTGAGGCTGAGAGGCGGGGACACGGAAATGGAAGCAGGATCGGAACACGCAGACCTGGCCTCAATTCCAGACTGAGGTCAAGGGCCGCTAGTGATGTCGGATTTTTCGGGACAAGTTATTCAGAGCAGCTGGCTCGGTTCCTGCGTGCGATCGCTAGAAGTGACTGCCGCTATGCTGAGAAGGATACAGAATATCTGCAATCTCGCTTGTGGTTTACGGACTGCAGGTTGAACAAAGAGGTCTCGATGCATCCGCTGGTTCGCAGCATGCAGGATCAGCTGGCACTGATCTTACAACGACGTGATCCCTGGGATGTGCGTTTGAAGGCAGTGGAGCAGTTTGCCAAGGAACATGGCAGGCTCCCCCGTCAGAAATCAACGTATCCTGGGGAGAGTGTTCTGGGAGTGTGGCTGCACAACATCGGCTACTTGCAAAAGAGGCAAGAGCTTGCAGCCACCAGAATGCAGAAGCTTTTGAACTCACCATGCAGAAGTTTGAGGGCCCGCGTGGCAAAGTGGCTGGAGCCTTCTACAGCCTTTGAGAAGCGACTGGGGGAGTTGCAGTGGTTTGTCCAAGAGCATGGCAGGCTCCCGCGCTGGCAAAGTTCTGTCCCTCGGGAGGAGGTCTTGAACAGGTGGCTAGGCAGGGTCGGCTACTTGCTCAGAAAGCAGACGCTCCCAGCCGCCAAGATACAGAAGTTGTTGAACTCATCCAGCATGATAAGCGCCCGTGCCATGCAGTGGCTGGATTCTGACACTCGTGCAACCTTCGAGGGGCGAGTGGAGGAGGTGCAGCGGTTTGTTCGAGAGCACGGCAGGCTCCCGCGCCGTCACAGTTCTATGCCTGGGGAGACTGTTTTGGGCGTGTGGCTCGGCAGGGTTCGCGGCTTGCATGCAAAACTGCAGAAGCTGTTGAATTCATCATGTAGCATGATAAGGGCCCGTGCTGCGCAATGGTTAGGCGCTGGTGCTCGCACATGCTTCCAGAGGCGAGTGGAGGAGTTGCAGCATTTTGTCCAACTGCATGGGCGTATGCCCCAAAACGCCAAGGCGAGTTCGGTTGGCGAGCGCAAACTGATGAAAAGACTGCTGCAGCTTGTCAGGCCCACGCAAGTGAGCAACACTAGAATGAAGCGGCTTCAGCGTTTGGCACAGCTTGGCCCCGTTGTTGCAAGTTGGACAAGGTCAAGGCAAGCACAACAGCCCAGAGTCCTATTCCGACCGTGGGTGCGGAAGTTAAACGAATTGATTGGCTTTGTGAATACTAACAAGAGGCTGCCACGCCAGAATCCTGGGGAGACCCATCTGTATTCTTGGTTGGCCAGGCAGCGGCGGCGACTGGCAAGTCTCCCCCCTGAGCTCCGAAACCCACTTACTCATTCCCATCCGTTAGTCGCTGCATATTTGCAGATCAGAGTATGATTTGCAACAGGGGTGGTGGGGGCTTGTATGATGAGCCTTGAGTGCAGGCCGCAGCATAAGCCTTGTTGTGCTTGGATGGTCGCCTGCCTGGTGTTGAAGACTCCCACGCGCAGCGCAGACCCAGGCGAGAAGTTACCACAAAGTGTTCAGGATGCCAAGGCCTGCATGACCATGAGTGCTCTCACACACGGCAGAGAAAGACGGATGAGAATGATTTCAGGACCAGGGATGTGCCATTATTTCATGCCGCTTGTAGCTAGCTACCGGCTGGGGCTCGCATGGGCAAAGTCCTAAGCGAACACAGGTCCGCAGTATGATATAGACTCACAAGCCGGCGGTTTTGGGGAGGCTCGCCTTCTGAAGGCCTCCAACATCAAGCCATGAATTCGTTCCTGAGCCTGGCTTCGAAGCCGTTCAGCTTGGAAAGGCTGCACAACCCTCAAAGAAGTTTCAGAGACTGCTTTTACCTTTCAGCTCCAGCAGCTCTACTCCCACAACCATCCCGAGACCTGCAGGCGATCGCAACGCGAAGCCCAGCTGGGAAGCCCAAGTTCCAAGCATGTCAACGCCCTTCCAGCATCCTCAGCTTTTTGTTTCATTTGAACCTCTGGCCGCAGACTCTTGCTAATACATCCCGCCTCTTGACGATCGCAAAAGCCAGCCAGCTCATGGAACCAGGAGCCTCAAGTAAACACTATCATGCAGTACTTACTTATCTTAGAATCCCTTTCTGTTTCAGGCTTTGTCGTATGCAATGGTCGCTGCACTGGCCAGTCGGAAATTTCCTTGCCGTATCTCACATGGTCAGACTCCTTCGTGCATGCGTGCCCGGGGTCATTGTACGACAATGCAGCACTTGAGTTTTGTGCGGCCGGAATCTTCGCAGCTGGCGGGCTCAGGAGCTGGTGCCTGCGCCTGCGCCAACAGGAATTCCGATGTTGAATGTTGCTTGAGTTCATCCCCTGACGGCCACTTGGGCAGCTTCGCTGCTGTCTCCGATGCCCAGGGTTCAGGTTCCTACCTGCCACAAGTGCCGGAGGCCTGGCACCAGGAGGACGGTGGCCTTGCTTCTGTGCGGACTCCTCCTTCGAATCGTTTGGACGGCGGCGCCTTTCGTGCACCCGGCCGTGTCCAGACGACGGGAACTGCCAAGGACCCGAACTCGCACATGCGCATGTGTCTGTGATTGTCTGTGTGCATGTGACAATGTGGGTATTGACTGGTGTCGACTCGTGCTTGCTCGGGGTAGCTTTTGTCTACAGCCACGACATCCTTATCTCTAGCCATGTGCGCTTTGCATGCCTTGTAAAGGGGTTGGGGCTTTTGTTTTCGCAGCTTCCGCGAGGACGTGGCACGCTGCAGCAGCTGAGGGTGCCGGGAGACCTGGTGTGGAGGAGCTCGGAGCAGACGTGCAGGGCGGCTTGGCGGAAAGCAGAGGCCCCAAAAGCAGCTCCTAGTCCCCGTGGATGCGGTGCGTTACTGCCCATGACAACGAGGTCGTGACACGGCCTTCATGGAGCGTCTCCGCGGCCTGGCGCGGGAGGTGCGAAGCTGCGAAGCCTAGATACTCGCAACCGCATCAAATCGAACCACGCTGAACTTTTGTGAGTCCAAGCTGGTGGTGAACAAGTTCTTGATTCAAGATGACTGGAAATAAGGATATAAGGTCACCATGCTTTTGATGCTGCAGGCCCTGACGTGGACGTTCCTGGATGACCAGGAGCGCCTGGTCTGGGCTGCGGTGCTGGAGTTCGACGCCGTGCCCTCACAGGAGGGCCAGCAATCTGAGAGGGAAGGACTACAACGAATGGCCTGGACATGTGCTTACGTGCGGACATTGGAAGTTGCGCTTCCAGTTTCCGCCCCAGGAGTTGCCCCCGTGGTTCTTTCAGAGGCACAACTTCACCCGCCGCCGGCTAGGCCAGGGTCACGGAACAAGCGACCATATACTACCGCATACTTCTTTATTGCGCGATGGCCGCCAGCATGTACTTGAGCAATGTCCACTATTGCTTGTGCTTTATGCGCAGCTTGATGACAGGCGTGGACCTCTTCAGCTTGGATGGGCAGCGGGCGATTCTCTGCCGGGCGGGGAACGCCTCTCATCGGGATTTGAAGCTGTTCCTGCGAACAGCCCAGTGCGTGTGCAAGGTGCGCGAGTGGGTCAGGTGCTTTGTCCGCTCAACCTGTGTAGGCCCTGCGCGTTCAGTTGCATGTGGGACCCAGCTTTGCTTCCACAGGACGCTGAGTGCACGCTCTGGACCCTCCGCGGCTGCAAAATCTTTGCCGATTCCAAAAGCTGGCTGCGCAAGTTCGGCGGGCAGCACAAGATCCTCACGAAGAAGTGCTTGTCCCAGGTTTGCCAGGAAGCCAGTTCCGCACTGATGTCCGGCAAGGTGCACGGCGGCCCTGCTTCCGACCTTCCTTTGCGAAAGTGCCAGGAGGCGTGCTTGGAGGCGTGCCTCAAAGGAGCTCGAGTGATCGAGATGGCCTGCGGCACAGGGAAGACTCGCGTGATGCGAGAGCTGGCAGAGAAGCAGTCTGGCAAGGTCGTGGTGCAAAGTTAAGTGAGGGGTGTGCAAATGTATGTACCGAGGGATTCAGGATTCAGACGCGACTCTTGGCGCAGGTCTTGGTCACCGTCCCATCGCGCGTGCTCCTGGAGCAGTTTGCTGCAGAGCTGCTGGGCTTCTGCAAGGTCGGCACGGGCTACAACGACAAGATCGACATGGAGTCACGCGGCTTCCTTGCCGTCACCGACTCCGTTCAGCTTCTGAACAAGTTGAAGTTCGAGGCCGCTTTTATTGACGAGGCCCATCACCCGGTGCCAAAAGGGATGCCGAGCTGCAAGGATCTCTTCAAGTTCTCTGCGACGCACAAGGAAGAAGCGGATTTCCGATACGGTCTCGGGCAGGCGATCGAGCAGGGTGTGCTGTGTGACTACGACCTCACGGTACCCGTAACGACCGAGGGCCACCCCTACATCTGCCTGGCGAACCTGCTGCTGTCGCAGGCCGGGCGCTTCCGGCGCGTGCTGGCATACTGCAACTCCATCGCGGAAGCCAAGCGTTTCCTGCGCGTGCTGAAGACCGTGGATTTGGCGGCGTGGCACATCAACGGCGAGACTAGTCGCAAGGAACGCGAGCGGGTGATGCGCCAATTTTCGTCTGAATTGACGAAGCCGGTGCATGTGCTGGTGACGGTTCAGGTGCTGGGGGAGGGCGTCAACATTCCCAACGCGGACACCTGCATGTTCCTGGAGCCACGCAGCAGCTACGTGAGCATCATCCAGGCTATCGGCCGGGTGTTGCGGCTGCATGCGAGCAAGCCCCTGGCCCATGTCGTCCTGCCCGCTTTGGCAGTTCCCAAAAATCCCGCTCGTACTCTGCCGGTTCTTGCGAATAGCGCCAGTCCGCAAAGCTCGGCTTCTTCAGATGCACCGCCGAATGCACTTGCAGAGGTAAGCAAGCTTGAAAGCCAGGAGACGAATGTGGGCACCGAGGTCCCGCTTCAAGAAGCACCGCGGCCGGACCCCGAACCTCATATGGCGGAGGTGGCCGCCATGCAGGGCCGCGGCAAGTCTTCGGCGGAGGCTTCGAGCACCAAATTGCAGGCCGGCGCTTCAAAGGATGCTGGAGCGCAGGGCGTTGCTCCGTTGCACACACCCGGTCGAAGCGAACCAAAGCCAACCGAAAGTGAAGAGGGAGCTTCCAGGCGTTTGTCTTCCGGGCTCGAGGAGAGTAGCGCGAAGGAGAGCGCTGGTGAGCTGCTTGTGCCAGGTTTAGAGCTTCGGGCTGACAGGGATGGCCAAGCAGCACGGGAAGTTGCCCGAAACAGGGCTGAAGGAACACCTCACGAGGCGGAGCTAGGCAGGTCGAGTGCACGAATTGGCGGACTTCGCAATCCCCTTGTGAAAGCCCCGTCGTCAACGAAGCCCATGCTGGTCGCATCCCAATCCGACCTGGTTGCACAGACTGGCGTTGCGCCCGTCGCGCTGCTGGTGCCGCACTCTTCGGATGAAGGGCCACCTGCAAGCATGGCGGCTTTGCAGTCAGCAACTGACAGCAGACCTGGCCGTTCAAGATTAGCAGGTGGCATGTGGGAATCTGCTGCCAAATCGCAGCAGCCATGGCCTCCTCACGTCAGACCCCCGATCCGGGCTGTGAGCCAAAACAGCAGCCAGATGAATTCATCGAGTGTTGAGGCTGTAAACCGTATGGGAACACGCACACCTGGCCACAATCTTAGACCGAGTGTAAGGGCCGCTAGTGATGCTGGATTTCTCTGTAGTGGTTGCGCAGCGCAGCTGGAGCGGTTTCTGGGTGCGATCGCTAGAAGTGACAGCCGCTTTGCGCAGAAGGATGCGAGGTATTTGCAGTCTTGCTTGTGGGCGACTGACTGCAGACTGAACCGAGAGATCTCGCTGCATCCACTGGTTCGCAATTTGCGGTATGACTTGGCACTGATCCTGCGGCAATGCGATCCGTGGGATGTGCGGTTGCAGGCAGTGGAGAAGTTTACCATGGAATATGGCAGGCTGCCACGCCAGAGATCCGCTTTGCCTGAGGAGAGTGTTTTGGGAGTATGGCTGCACAACGTCGGCTGTGTGCTGAGGAGGCAAATGCTTGCAGCCACCAGAATGCAAAAGCTGCTGAACTCATCATGTAGCAGTCTGAGGGCCCGTGCTGTGGATTGGCTGGATCCTTCTACAATCTTTGAGCGTCGACTGGGCGAGTTGGAGCGGTTTGTCCAAGAGCATGGCAGGCTACCGCGCCAACAAAGTTCAGTGCTGAGTTCTGCGTCTCCGGAGGCAGTTTTGGGTGCGTTTCTAGGCAGGGTCGGCTACCTCCTCAAGAGGCAGAGCCTTCCGGCCGCCAAGGTGCAGAAGTTGTTGAACTCCTCATGTCGCACGATTAGGGCCCGCACTGCGCAGTGGTTAGACCCTGATGCTCGTACAGGCTTCGACAGGCGAGTGGAGGAGTTGCAGCGTTTTGTCCAATTGCATAACCGCATGCCCCAGTGGAACAAGGCGAGTGCTGACGAGGACCAGCTGATCAGAAGCCTGGTGCAACTTGTGAAGCCCGCGCTAGCGAGCAGCACTCGAACGAAGCGGCTCCAGCGTTTGGCAAGACTCGGCCCTGTTGTTGCAAATTGGACCAAGGCAAGGCAAGCGCGCAAGACCGTAGTCCACTCCCGGCCCTGGAAGCAGAAGCTAAGCAAACTTAATGACTTCGTGCAAACGCATCGCAGACTACCACGCCGGAAGCATGGAGAGAGCGGTCTCTATTCTTGGTTGGTCCGGCAGCGGCATCTGCTCGTGGGTCTCCCATCCGAGCTCCAAACAGCACTTTTTGATTCCCATCCAGCAATCGTAGCGCGTTTGCGGATCTCATCATGATTTACAGGCTGCAAGACTCAGCATCTTTGGCACCTTCTTCTGCAGCAGAAATCGGCGGGTTCCTAAACAAGCGCTATTCTGGAGTCCATGAGGTCCAGAGAGTTCTCAGCAAAGAGCGAAGAAAGACCTTGAAGGTTGTATGCAGAAGTAGGGGGTTACTCCCAAGTTTTTGGACGGATGTCGGGAGCAAAACGATTTCCAGGACCGGAGACGTGCTATTATACTAAGCATGCCTCCGCCCGGCTCCATGCTTGTGTGAGAAAAGCTCCAAGCCTGTCGGGCAAGGTCCTACCCAACACAAACAATTCTGAGACTTTTCCTTTTCATGAAGGCGATGCAAAGGGGAGAACAGATGAACAGCATCGCGGCTTTTTGAAATGGGCCCATGTCTTCGGATGGTGCGCTTCTGTTTATGGGAGTCTTTTGCCATTAAAGCGTATTCGTTGCAACTTTGCTGTTTCGGGTGGGGGTTGAGCGTGGAATCATCGCAGTCGCTTTGAACAAGCTTTTCGCCATAGGGTTTCAACTCCTGTTGGATGCCGGGGCTACTTAGCATCCGTATCATCATCTGTACCCTCATCACTCACCATCGTCGCTGCCGTCATCATTATGACCATCAGCATTGATGATGATGATGATCGTCATCATCATGATGCGTGCCTTTGTCTTTCGATTACTGCCATGACCGGATGTTGTTTACTCTTGCCGCTGGTGCCATCGTCATGGCATGCTTGTGGTTTGTGTGCAACATGTTAAGGGGACAATATGTGTCAGAATTTAGCAGTGTAACAATTGGTGCAGGTTGCAAGCAAAGGAAACGAGTAGTGGGGAAGAAGGGCACTTTTCGCTCTGGCAGCCTTTTGGCTCCGCTTCGGGCGAGTCTCCCATGCGACTTGCGCTTCGCCGGGTTGCAATTCGCTGCTGCTTTGCCTCGATCATGGCCGCAGTTGTGTCCCCGAACGGATATGGAGGACCACGCATCTTGGCGCCGACGGCCGCATTGCTGCCGGCCTCTCATGTGAAGGCGACCAGCGTGCAGGCTGCTCCTTCAACACCGGTGATGCATGCGACGGGGTTTGCGGACTGGCTGCGTCCGGAGAGCTCTCAGTACAAGGGCTTGCTCCTAGCGAGACAGCCGTCCTGGAGGGATTGCCAGGACATGGTGGACCGAGGTGCCAACAAACAGTTTGGCATAAATAAACTAAGCGTATGGTGCAGAATCTTGTGGTGTTGTGAATGGTAGAACCTGGTGTTTACGTTTACACCACGCCGTCTGTCATCCGATGTAGCCGACCGAGGCGCCTACCGAGGTGACTACGGGGAAATGGAGTCGATTCACGTGCGCATGTCGCCGGACTCCAAAGAGGGCCCTGCAGACCTTGCCCAGGCCGTGGAGTATTGAGCTGATGAAATTAAGACTTCATGAATAGAACGGTACACGGCTCGACATAGAACAGGCTATACTAACGAGCGTACCATGCAGTATGCTTTGTTTTTGCGGCCGCTGGTTGTTTAAGTTGCGTTCTTCGTTGCCCGTTGTTTGCAGCAGGCAACTAAGTGCTTGATCGCACATAAAGTATAGTTTACATCGTGAAACAATGGTGGCAAAAGAGAAGGTTAACCGCCCACTTCGTTTGTTTAAATTGACTACGTGTTGTCCACGTTGTTTTATTACAAGTCAAGCAACAGTACTAACGGCGAGAGAAGAGGAAGTTGCGCTCAGGAGGGAAGGACAGGCACGAGTGAACCCGTCGTGAGTCCATGAGCTAGCCGGCTGAGAAGGGCGGAGTGGCACATCTCACCATTGAATCGCAGAAACTGTGTTTGGGGAGCATATATATATATATATGCATATAGCATGGTGCCCGCTGGTTAGACTCCGCGAAAGAGGGGGCCTAAACACAACCCATCCCCAGAGGTAGCCGACGCGCTGTTGAAGCGAGTGGAGCTGCCCGAGGATGTATGCCAAGCTATCCGCCAAGATGTACTTCAGGCACGGGGTCTCTTACGTCTTTGTTGTCTCTATTTTTGTTGGTCCTGGTTGGTTTGTGCGCAATGGGGTTCCAACTCTCTTTCTTTACGTTTTTGCAAGGGTCTTCTCTTAGTCAAAGCCCAAACCGCGGACGGACGAACATTCAGGTGGTACCCCAT